ATCCACCTGCCTCTGCCTCCCAAGTGCTGGGATTAAAGGCGTGCACCACCACGCCTGGCTTATTATTATTCTTATTTTATGTGTATTGCCTGCATGTCTGTAAGTGCACCCCTGTTGTGCAATGCCCGAGGAAGCCAGAAGAGGGTGCTCAATTCCCCTGGAACTGGAATCACAGATGGTTGTTAGCCACCATGTAGGTGCTAGGAATCAAACCTGGGTCTTCGGAAAGAGCAGCCAGTACTCTTAACCATTGAGCCATCTTTCTAGCCCCTTGTTTGTTTTTTGTTTGAGACAGGGTCTCACTATGTAGGCCAGGCTGGCCTCAAACTCACAGAGATTCACCTGTCTTTACCTCCCGAGTGCTAGGATTTAAGGCATGCGCCACCATGCCTTGCTTGCAAAAACAGTTGTGCCACTTCATCCCCTGGCAGCTCAGCCCACCTGCCTCCACTGAGGGTAGGAGCCAGAGTTGGCTGACCAGATTGCAGGTGCATGACCTGGCAGAAGGCCCCAAGGCACCACCTTTCCCTTCCAGCTTTCTAGAGAAGGCACTTCAGTGAGGTCAGAGACAAAACCCTTGTCCTAGGGAGCGAGAACAGGTGACTAGAGACACAGGATAAATCCTGGGAAATCCCCCAGGCATACTGGTACCCAGGGCTTGGACTCAGAAGTAGGGTGAGGCAGCAGGGGTGGGAACGACAGGAAAGCAGCAAGGGTTCCCATGTTCTCGGGTTCACATTGACAGGTACACATGCACACAGGAGAGGGGGATCAGTTCAGGCAGCATGGGCAGTAGGTAGGAAGCAGCAAGATTGGGGTCAGTGGGGCGGGTTGGCCTCCTCCCTGGGTGAAGGTCACAGGCAGGGGTGTGAATTATGGCTGGAGTACTACATGGGTACACCCCATCATGTTCTAGGCTTTTTGGCCAGGAGAATGGGATCAGGTAGAGGAATGAGTACCTGGGGTACAGGGGAAGAGTGGGACTTGACCTGACTTGTTCAAGGCCTAAGGCTGGTCTAGACTTCCACTTTGAACCTGCCTGCTCTGGCTAAGACCAGGGTCTGTGAGACCCCTGCACCAGGCACAGAACTGGCTCAGCCCTTTGAAAGACCAAAGATTGCTATAGGGGCAACAGTGGCAGGCAGGACAGTATTTTAGAGATGGGGCCTGCCAGGGCTAGAGGCCAAGCTGCCCACAGGGAGCACCTCCAACCAGGCTCAATTCTGATGCTTCAGCTCTTGGCTGGGCCTCACATCCTCCTGATGCCCCAGCTCTGGGCCCTTGGGAGGGAAGGAAAGAAGAGTCACATATAAGTGGGATGGCAAATACAATTCACACCAACTGACCAGTGGGAGATATCCAGAAGGCTGTGGAGAGAATTCTGGACATAGGAGGAAGGGGTATTGGGATTAATTAGTGATGTCTGTCCTAGGCCAAGTACCAAGGAAGGATACAAGTGGGACAGAACAGTTGCACAGATCATCCTATCTGCCATTAGACAGATTAGTGGTAGGCAGCTGATTAATCAGTTATGCCTGTCACAGGTACAGGAGTGCAGTGCCATGTGGAGAAGTTTTTTTTTTTTTTAAGAAAAAATGCTCCAGTCACATGAGTCACAGAATGAAGAATTGATAGCATGCTTATTGGGCAAGAATTCCAGTATCAATTAGTGATGCCGGTCCTCGGTGCACTGCAGAGGAAAAGCACAAGCAAAGTGTGCTGGATTGATTAGTCATGTCTGCCACAGGCACAGGAAAGACAGATTTCTACATGTGGTAAAACATGCCCCAGCCAGTGAGTAATGTCTCCACTGAAGGCAGAAGGGGGCAAGAATGAATCCCAATAGGGCTTGAGCAACATCTTCCCCAGTCAGGGAGCTGAGGAGGAGATGGGCAATGTGTGAGCTACATATTTGCCATCCCTGGTCTATAAGACACCAGAAAATGCCTGCTGGGAACCAGCCACAGGGGTATGCCTCCCAGAGAGGTGTGATTGAGTTAGTATTGGTGTGAGAGCAACAGGAACCCAGAGTCAGCGGCAATCCATGCTTTTCAAGTTAGTTTTAGTTTTTTTATCGAGGGGGTGGAGTGGGGGTGTGAGGGGGGTGAGGGGAATATTTCCAAGTGGGCAGGACCTCCATCACCACTAGATTCTCTAAAGTTCACTACCATACTAAGCAGGTACTTACCAAGATCTCCCCCTTTGAGAATGCAAAGTTAGGGTTGTGGGTCAACCAAGGAAGAGAGGGAGGAAGAGAAGAGACGGGCATGAAGGGATGAAGAAAAAGCAGAGAGAAAGCACAATGACAGGGAAAAGAAGGGCAGAGGGACAAAAAACAGCAAAAGAAAAAAATTACATGCTATTAATTATATCCACAGTGTTAATATTTAATTCATTATCATCTTAAAAAAAAAGCAACATACATATTACCTATGGCAAGCACAAAAAAAGAAAATTAAACATCATGCAATTGTTACCTCCCCTCCCCTGCCCCAAATCTGGCTCTATAATCGTGCAAGGGAAAAAAAAACGACACAGCGCCCCACCCCAGCCTGATGGGAAGGTGGGAGAGGGACAATGGCAGGAGGAAAAAAAAAAAAAAGCCTAGCCAGACAGCTATCACTGGCATTTACAGAGCCATGCATAATTTGTAAGGCCTCTAAACAGCTGGGCTGAGACATCCAGGATGCCTTGGAGTTCTCCACCTACAGGATTCAAAGCACTCCATCATCCCTAAGCTGCTGTTGCATTGCACCTGCTATGACTCCCACCTACCCACCTCCAATCCTTATGGCAAGAATTGGGAAACCTGCTTTGCTTGCAGACACCTTGGGTGATTGTTACACCTTGGTCTTAGATGTCAGACTGGGTGGGCCTTTGGGTGTTTGAAATTTGCCCCTGGGCCTCAATCAAGCTGTAGCCCTAACACCTACAAGGACCCTAGAGGCCTACAGAATAAGTGGCCCGGTTCTGAGGTGTCCATTCTCATTCCAGGTACTATGGCAGGGTTCAGTCACCCCTCAGTGCCCTCCCGTCCCCATAAAAAGTGGTGGCTGAGACTGCGGAGTTACCTGATTGGGAATGGCTCTCTTCTTGTTTAGCTGTGTGCTCCTCTGCTGGGCACTGGAACAGAAGCAGAGAGAAGGTAAGTTCAGACTGCAGGAGGGAGGAGGAGTGAGAGGCCCTGGTAGCCCAGGGACCCGCTCAAGGCAGAGGCAAGGAGTTGGGCTTTATGCATAGAGAACTGCTGGAGTGCATTAACCAAGAAAAACACATCTGGCAAAGCTAGGGCTTCTAGATCCTGCTCACGGACAGTCCAGGAGCCAAGAGATGCAGGGGACCAGGGGACAGGGAAATGGCTCAGGAGAACTGAGTACCATATATTAGAAGATTCTTTGTGCTCTTGCTTCCTGTCCCCAACCTTATACCGAGCTGGAGGTGGCGCTAATCCCAAGGTCACCCAGCATAGGGTAAGGCCAGTGCTTTAGCTCCCAACTCAAGTCAGAAAACACCCAAAGCAAACAAGGCAGGTTTCCACATGTTCTCCGTCAACAGTCCAAATCTCCCCCATCACTTCTGTGTGTGTTTGGGGAGACAGGCACCAAACCCAAGGCCTCATGCATGCCAGGCAAGCTCTCTACCACTGAGCCACACTTCCAGCTCCTGTTTTTTGGTTTTGTTTTGATACGGGGTCTCATGGAGCCCAGGCAGGCCTCCAATTCCCTATGAAGCCAAGGATGTCCTTGAACTCCTCATCCTCCTGCATCCCTCTTCCTGAGTGCTGGGATGACAAGTGTGCACTAGCTGCCACCTTTATGCAGTGCTGGGGAGGGACACGGGGCTTCATGCATGCCAAGCAAGTGCGCTACCCACCGAGGCCTGGCCTCACCCCTTCAGGAACGTCATTGTGTTCTACTGTGACTAGATACTCACTCAACCCACTTATTGATTCTAATATGTCTAGCAAACAGTCCACATCTCTGGCTACTTATCTGTCGTATTTTTTTGTATTGCTTTAGCTGGAAACTGCAGAACAATACAGCAAACAGCAAAGCAACCTGGTCTTATTCGGTGCTGACTGCTCTGGGGTTTCACACCTTAGCGTTCATATCAGCTGAGCTGGGAGTGCGGTGGTACCTGCCAGGAATCCCAGGAATTGGGGGTGAAGGCACATGGAGCATGAGTCTGAGGCTAGCCTGGATTATGTAATGCGTTAAAATAGTCTACATGGGGAAACTGTTTGAAAGAACAAAAAAAGTTCAGACTGATGGATAAGGCGGAGTTTGTAACAAACAGGCTTTCCAGGTCGGTCAAGATTGGAAAATTAAGAATTGGAATTCAACCCAAGGTTTTCCCATTCATATCACAGGCTCTGTTTAATTTTTAAGTTCTTATTTGTATTCAGGGTGTGCATCTGTGGAGGATCTAGGGGATCAAACTAGGTTATTAGGCTCATGTGGCAAATTTCTTTATCTGCTGATTTATCTCATCAGCAGCCCTAATTGTGTTATTTATCATTATTATTTTTTTCTAAGAAAGGATCTCCTTATGCCCCCAGCTGGTCTGGAATTCACTACGTAGACCAGGTTGGCCTTGATCTCGGAGCTCTAACTGCCTTTGCCTCCCAAGTGCTGGGATTAAATGTGTGTATCACTATGGCTGGCTCTTCCTTCTTTCTTTTCTTCCTCCTTCCCTCCCTCCTCCCTTCCTCCCTTTCATTCTCATTCTCATTCTCTCTCTCTCTCTCTCTCTCTCTCTCTCTCTCTCTCTCTCTCTCTCTCCCACACCCACACACCAATATTTTTTTTCAAATCTTTTTGTGCATCTGTGGACTAATTTCACACCACGTCTTCCATCCCACCACTTTTCTTCTCTCTCCCCCCCCCCCCCCTCCCTCTCTCTCTCTCTCTCTCTCTCTTTCTCTCTCTCTCTCTCTCTCTCCCCCCCTCCCTCCCTCTCTCTCTCTCTCTCTCTCTCTGACACAAGGTCTCATGTGGTGCCAGTTGGCATCTAACTTGGCTTTGTAGATGAGGATAACCTCGAATTCCTGATCCTCCTGCCTCCACCTGCTGAGAGCTGGGATCTGCAGGTGTTCTATCATCACAGGTGTGACTGAACTCAGGGCTTCGCGCATACTAAATGAGCACTCTACTCACTGAGTCTCAGCTCCAGCCCTCACTGGGGTTTTACTCTGGCCCTGTCTGTGGTGTTTTGAGGACAGTGAGGAGCACAGAACACTGAGGCTCAACTGTCTGAAGGAGGTGGGACTGAGCCAAGCCACCACTGGTGGCAAGGCTAGGTGGTAGCAAAGGTCTAGATGTGTTCCCTGGCTCCCTCTACAGCAGTCCACATAGTAGCCCCTACCAGAGATTCTGGGTACCATGGGAGGGAATCTAAATTCTTCTCCTCAGCCTATAGGACCCTCCTGATGAGGGGGTGTGCCCACCAGCTGTCCCCATTTACCCTGTCCTCTCCCTCTTAGCTGTCTTTCCTCACTGCTACCCCTCTGAGGTCCCTTGCCTGCCACCTGTCATCGCTTCCTTAGGAAGGTCACTCCAGGTCCCACCCCTCACTCTCCTTTGCTCTTCGCTTACCTCTGTCACCGTCACCCCAGTCTGCAGGTGTTACAAGGACAGAGCTCATTTGCTGTCCTCCTCCCAAGGCCCAATGTGGGTCCCACTTTGAGAGAGTGGCTCTGTTGTAATGCAGGCTTAGGGTCACCCAACCAGAGCACCCCACTTCACACACCAGGGAAATAGCAGGCAGCAGGCAATACCCACCCTGTGACCAGCTCCTCAGTATAATAACAGCTGGGTAAGTGGGAAGGCCCCGGAATCCAGACAAAGTGGTAGAGTGGTGAGAGGAAAAACAGGAGAGACTGTAAAGGAACTTCGAAGTGGGAGAGGAGACTGCTAGGGGAGGAAAATGGCAGGAAAGCCAAGAAGGGACCAGCACTGGCTACCCACAGGCAAAGTGAAAGGCCCCATCCCCAGGTCCTCGGTGCCACCCAGACAGGGCTCCTGAGCCTACACCTGGCAGAAATGGCCTCACCAAGGCCCTGGGCTCACCTCTGCTCTGGGAGGGACACATGATCATTTCATTCATTCCATTCACCTGCCATATGCCCAGCCAAGAACAGACCCTCCATCAACTCTGCCCAGAGTGTTGGCACACAGCTCAAGGCTTGGAGTCAGCAGGCCCTCCCCTTCCTGGAGCCTCAAGAAGCCTAAGGTTAGGCCCTGCAGGGGCCCTAAGCACACTGTCCTGAGTGCCTATCTTTTGCACAGGGACCTGGCCTGGCTCACTCACTGCTTCCACCAGGAGCCAAGCATGATAAGGTTTGACAATAGTGTATGGACACAGGGAGCTGGCTTCTGGGAGTTGGGGTTCTATTAACTGCAGGTGAGAAAACCTGCTTGAACCACAACAAACCCCCACTGATGCCCAAGCTTGACCAGTGGGTCTGGAGCTGATGGTTGACCCAGAGGGGATACCCAAGATCATTAATGTTTTTATTTATATCTTGCCCAAGTCAGCCCATCTCATATCCAGGTGCTATGGAAGGTTCTGGGTTTTGATTTGTTGTTTTTTTTGAGGCAGAGTCTCATGTAGTTCAGGCTGGCTTTGAATTCCTAATGTAGCTGAGGATAACCCCGGGCTTCTTTTCCTGCCTCAAGCTCTTCAGTGCTGGGAGTAAACCTGGTGTGTGTGATGCTGAGTTAAATCCAGAGCTTCTTATGCCCTAGGCAAGCATTCTGCCAATTGAGACTCATTCCCAGCCTAAAGCTTTAACTTATTTTAATTTTATGTGTATGAGTATTTTGCCTGTATGTATGTAAGTGCACCATGTGTGTACAATGCCTATGAAGGCCAGAAGAAGGCGTCAGATCCCCTGGAACTGGAGTTTCAGATGGTTGTTGGTCATCATGTTGGTTCTCTGCAACCTGGGTCCTCTGAAAGATTAGCCAGTGCTCTTAACTGCTGAGCCATCATCTCTCCAGTCCCCAGCCTGAGGCTTTAAATATGGTTTAAAATCTACAGTATAGAGCTGGAAGGCAGACTCAAGAACAGCACAGCCTGAAAAGCAGCCTCAGGGATCAGGAGACTGCGGTTCGCTTTGGTTGCAAAAGTGTCAAGTTTGGGGGTCAGTTGTATGTTGGTCTGTGAAAGGCTCTGAAAAGTCCTGCAGGGAAAGGACCTGCCTGGCCTCACCCTTTCCCAAGAATGACCACAGTACAAACTCTTTTCCTTATCTCCAGGATGTCCACAGAAAACATGATGGGTGGGAACAGAGGTCACAATTGACCCAGAAAAAGGCACTCTCAAATGGTTCTGCACTTCACATGGAGCCCCCACAGACACTCTGGCTCCTGGCCTCAGTGCTACCCTTTCTCACAAGGGCCCGGTGCTAAGGGTGGGAATGGCTCTGCCCCTGAGAAACCAACCCCCAAGTACATACTTGGCAAATCCAATGAAGTCTTCGTGGTTTGTGTTGATGTAGGACTGTTCAATGTCAATCAAGAGAAGAATCTGGGAGGAAAGAGGGATGGGTGTGAGGACAGAGGCCAATGTGGCAAGGAAGGGCACTGAGCAGAATCCAAACAGCACCTGCTAGCAGGGACATCACACACACACCCACACAAAGCAGCATGCAACAGACACACTCCCCATACCTGCCAGCAGGGGGAAGCAGACAGCTACAGAAAGCAGCAGGCACAGGACACCCTCCCCTAAAACAAACTGGCAGAGGACAGCACACATACATCTTTTTTTTTTTTTTTTTTTGAATCTTTGTTACTTCACTTAGTCTCAATACATCTTTATTCATGTACTTCATTGTACAAAGTGACTAGGTCTCACATTGATATTTTATTCAAGTATTTCATGTATTTTGACCATGTTCCTCCTCTTGTCTCCTTCTATATTCCTGTAAGTCCCCTCCCCCTGCTTTTTTTTTTGTCTTTTTGAGACAGGGTCTCCCTGCAGCCCCAGCTGTCCTGGAACTATGTAGACCAGGCTGGCCTTGAACTCACAGAGATCTGCCTGTCTCTGCCTCCCGAGTGCTGGGATTAAAGGCACACGCACCACAGCCAGCTTCCCTTTTACTTTTATGTCCTATCTATCTATCTATCTATCTATCTATCTATCTATCTATCTATCT